GAATATTGAACTGTGCCACAGGTGGCTAATATTTTAATTGTACGTCTGATGGCTATTGTGAGTGTAAGTGTGTTCTTACTCAAACCCTCATGTGGAGAGACTTTTAAACGCACACACACCGATACTATGGAATCCGCTGACAGTTTGGGGACCGAATCTACTGTATATAGGTCCTAACAATGTTCCCTACTCCAAGAACTAGGATTCTTCGAAAAAGCACTTTTAACTGGAAATCTAAAGGTTCCCACCACTTACCACCAGTGTGTAAGTTTTGTTTGGAAACGTTCCCACAGTGCTATAATGAAGCAAGAGATTATAAACTGTTTATAATCTCTTGAACGAAGTGTATACTTTTGTTGTTTTGTTTTAATTTGCTGATAATGTAAATGAAGATAGTAACTTTTAAATCATGTGTTCATCCACGATCTTGAGACAATTCGTTTGCTCTCTCTGCTGATGTTTCGAGCTCTGATAATTTACAGTTCTGATCTCACATTCCATCCTCATTGTCTCTTTAAATTATTTATTTTTTATTTATTTATTTTTTATTTAAGGGAGACTCGTTGATAACTGGGTGCAAATATCATACAAAGAACTATCCAGTACTAGTACGTGGTATTTTTTTTAACTTCTTTGTAATCAAAAGCTCTTGTTTGAAACCATACAGTCCCTTTCCAGAGCTGAGTTCACTGAGGAGCATCAAACCTTTTGGTTCTTGAGAAACAGTCGCGATTCCTGAGCTCCCAGAAAATTACCAATGGCCATATAGGGACAGTGTTAAATAAGACACCTGAGTTGGTGAAGAAAAAAAAATTAATTCACTTGATCTTCAATATTTCTCTGCATGCCGCCCAAAATCAAAAATATCTACACCATCGGCCATTTCAAGGATGGCTTTCATACAGTTCTTTGGGCTCAATCATTTTGTTCAAATGTTGTGCTTCGCCCTGCCGAACTTCATCGCACTTTCAAGTTAAATTTGGCAAAGAAATTATGTTCGACAAGGTCTGCCATGCTACGTGACTCTAGTTCGGCAGCAATTCAAACATCTTGGCTCTGTTGCGCCAAGCATTTTTTTTCTTCTTGTTGGTTTTGTTTCTCTTTAGGGAGGTCTAGGAACGACTGAAGAGATGTGCTTATCCTTTCATTTCTACTATCCCAAAGTCAACTTGTTTCAGTGTTTATCATGTCAATGTGACGCTGCAGAGAATTGGTATAAGTCACACTTCTTGTAAGTATCACCTTTTAAATATCACAACAGAACTGATATTGAGCTAAAACTATCGACTCAACTGAAACTGCTGCCGAGTGGTCCATTGTCTGTGGGCGTCCAAGTAATGGTGCCGGTGCTCTCAGTTAGCTTCTCCTGTTGAGTCTGACAGCCAACAACGTAACGCTAAAATTGATCAATCACATTTCTCGCACCAGACCTGTAACAATCGACTGACTAGAAGTTGGTCATGTGTTCCTAATGATAAATTCTTTTCAAGTTGTCGAAATGTAGGTCATTATTAAGCTCAATAACAGCTTAGTAGTCGTTCGTCTGCGCATCTGTCTGGTTTGCGAGGTCAGTTTACCATGAATCACTCGGTAGGGCCACCTCTTTAGACTTCAACGCTTTTAAAGTTCCCAGCCACGGTTTTTTTGAAAGCGTGGAGACATTTCAAGTTCAAAACAAACTAGTGCTCATACCCTCATCCTTTAAGTTCGGAAAGCCTCAAGGTTTCCCTTTCCCCACTCCTGTTTTAATATTCATATATTAATAGTTCAATTTATCTTCGTAGATCTTGCGTGACAGCATTTTCTTTACATGTTTTCCTCTAAAATTGTGCGCACGAAATTAACGCGCGCCTGGCCAAAATAGGCGGGCTCATGCGTATAGCTTACGTTTGGCCGATGTGTTCTCGCCGCTGCTCGGGAAATGAGCCCACGCTTCAGACACATAAGAGACATGAAAGTCACTCCGTTCGTCAACAGTTCAGTATAAAGTAACCCTCATCCGGAAGATAACACATGATCGACTTCTGGTCTAACGCTTAGTATTCCTCATCTTTCACTGGTAATAAATTGTTTGATTTCTACTTGTATTTATGTAGGAAGTACCCTGTCAACAATTCTTGGTGGAACGATAAGTGGACTACCCCATTACGCGACGGTTATCGAGACACCGACGCTATACGTGCTCACTGCAGTGGTGGTAACGGTAAAGTCCTGCCGGTGGGTATAACTTACATATTTTAATAATTTGATGGCCCTGTGATTGAGAGGGGAGCCGAATGGAGCAGACAGGCCGCCCACACACCCAACACTTAATCAAATGACAGTCGAAGTCATGCGATAACTCTTAGTGGGGAGAGAACAACCCCATCCTTTTGAAAAGAGAATACCGAAGATCGATACTTTTCCCAAAACTTTCTTTTCACAGGGTCTCCGTTGGAAAACAGTGAGTAAGCCAAAAATCCACACTCCTTTGAAGGGTGAACCCGAGTGCCAAGATTTACCTTCGAGCTCTCCCAACAAACTGGCATCGTGCGGCCTTGTGCTTTTTACACTTCTTTTTGCCGTGCTTTTCTCCTGTATGAACTGATTTCGATACATGACAAGGAGTTAAAAAACCACATGTACTCTCAGTTTCCACGGAAAGTAACCGTGTTATGCACTTTTTAACTGAACATTTAGCTGAATATATAAATCGGTGTCATTGCACAGGAAATAGAGGCACGAGAAGCTTTCCCATCCAATGTAAAGCATTCTCAAAACACCATTTAACAATACATAACAAGACTTCTGTTTTGCAATTTATTTCACCAATTACAGCACCAATTGTATCTAGTCTAATGTAGGAAGGATGGAAACAATTGTAATCAGTCATTTGATCTATTTGAGAAGAAGGGTAGGATGCACTGAGCCTATTTATCTTAGGCTGAAAAGAATGCATAGTGTTTTGTAATAATATGACGATTAAATTTAGTGTAGTTATTAAGGGAAAAAAATACAGTGGAGACTTGATTTTTTTTTGTGGATTTGCCGTCTTTTGAGCCTTGCGCATTGTCGAAGAAAGGGAAAAGTGCAAGATCTTTCATATCTGAAACCTTGCTCTAGCTGTGCTTTTCGCTCGTCCATACAATCTCTTCTGTTACGCTTTCCACTGGTCAACTGCTCTATACTTGGGGATCGCCGCCTTTGCTTCTGCCTTGGTGAATTCGTTGCGTTTACCAGTCAGATCCTGTCGCAGCCAAGCGTAATGTCAAGATATCTGGATATTGGGCCGTGTTCTCTTTTTAAGATTTTATGGACCGAGACAAAGAAAGAAAAAAGAAAAGGTTACACTTAAGTGGATTATTTTCATCACCTCCCGCTATTTCGACTCTCGCCATTATGGACACAAAATGGTGAACCCGAAGGCGTCCACTGTAACGAAAGTTGAATCTACTTTTTATCATAAAAACAATTAAGTAATTTCCACAGTACCTCAGGTTACCAGAGGCTGACCGCTACCACCTGTGGTGGAAAACAAAAAAATTTGATGGGAAACCAAGTTGCAAAAAATAAATACCTGTATGAACATTTTGAATCACGAAATTTAAAAGTAATTTGAATTCAAGTTCCTGCCAAATGTTCCAAAATGTTTTACTTAAGAATATTGCTACCTTAAGTTGTGTGCCAGAAGCCGTTATTCTTAGGAGCTCTGTGCCGCAACCAATGAAAAACACTTTACAACGAAAATTCCCATTCTTGACCTTCACAGAACTGAGACGCAAAAATTGCAAAGCAGAGAGAATCTTGGATATTTGATTCGACAAAAGTTTTCTTCTAGCAATCTTGTCTGCGTTATCTGTCAGTAATACCTCCGATTCAGATGGTAACATCTGTTTCATCCATTCCATCAAATAACTTCAAAGGATGGTGTCATTGGCATAAAGGCAATATGTATGAGAAGACAACATTAGCAATGAAAGTACAAAAACATAGCGCACTTTTAAATTACAATTTGGCAACAACACCTTGTGTCACATAAATGACATTGCAAGTGATTAACCCGGTTTCTGCAGCATAAAGCTACTTTCAGTTGAGTGTCAAAGTAATCCGGGTTCACTTTAGTTTTGCTTTAATTCGCTCTACGATTCATCCCGAAAACTCGCGCTTCTTTCTCAACAAATCAGATTCGAATCCAAAACCAATCGCGACTAAATCACTCGCGATTTCCCGCACTTCTCTTCACTTCACTTCACTTCACTTATTTTTAATGGAATTAATTTGCACAGACCTGAAATGGGTCTATTGAAATTATGATTTAGTCTTACTATTACACAGAGGTAAGATTGGGGCTTGTATTTCAATTAGTAACACAGATCTTACAGAATAGAGCATCACAAATCATTGTCATTACCCTAAGAACTGGAGAAATACTGTATACTCTACATGTATTTCTATTCTTTGGACTGGTTGCCGACTCGTACTAAGGTGCCGCCTGTAAGAAAAACTATAAGATGTTAAAAAAGTCAGCAAGAACAATTCTGCATCACTTTTAATGAAATACACCTCATGTACTTAAAATAACAACTTTCGAGTGGTTTAGTTGGAAAAAGCACTTCCAAACACTACCAAACATGTATACTCAAACCCCTTTGGGATAGATACCCAGAGTGCCCAGTGTGTGTACGTACACACTGTAGTGCGCATGTTATTGTATAAAGGTAACCAAAAAAAATCATGTGTATCAATAACTGTGTAACATCTTTTTTAAACTAGAAAGGATGAAAACATCACACCAAGTATTTCAATTCTCATCTAGTTCCCTTCAAAACATAGTACAAACCTTACACGTTCATGGTCTCCAGTAGATGTAATTCAAAATAAGTGAACAATTAATGATATTAACAACAGACAAACATGCTCGTTAAATTTCACAGCTGCAAGGTAACGTTAAGACCAATAACTGACTAATACTCGCAAAACTCGCATGCTTAATCAAGTAGGTATTTATTTCTCCCACTCTTGATTAGTCGAACGGGTACATGCAACTGTAAGCAACACGACAATAGGATATCCATCAATGTTGTTCACTCCTTTTTTTCTGTCTTTAAAACCATTCGGCATTTTATCAAAGTCACTCAATTATCTGGGTACAAACTTAAAACATCAAAATGTTTTATTGCCAATTAATTAGAGTGTGCAACCAACATATTACAATCAAGAACATTTACAATCCCCATGGACTAGGATAGAGACAACGACATCAATTTGCAATACCCAAAATACCTTGTAGCTTATATTACATTCAGATTACTAGTTAAATGAAGTTTCAAAGGTCAAGAAGGCACATATCTCTCTGACTATATTCAAATTAACTCTCTAAGGCAGGAAGGCTGTGGAGTTGGTATTGCTAGCACTGAAAAGTGCAGGAGCTATGCAGCCTTACAGTTTTTATGTACACAAAATAATTCCCTGAATGGCTTAACCAGGTTTAGTCTACACTAAAAGCTCGCAATATTTTCATCATTATCCGGTCTGATCAGTGTACTTAAAAAAAAAAAAAAGCTGGCCACTCATGAAGAATAAAACATGCATTAAATAATCATGCACTTAAGTCTACCAAATGAAACTCATCTTGAAGTCTCATAAATTGTTAGAAATACATGATGGACTGAGCAATTCTTGGTGGAACGATAAGTGGACTACCCCATTACGCGACGGTTATCGAGACACCGACGCTATACTTGCTCTCTGCAGTGGTGGTAACGGTAAAGTCCTGCCGGTGGGTATAACTCATATATTTTAATAATTTGATGGCCCTGTGATTGAGAGGGGAGCCGAATGGAGCAGACAGGCCGCCCATACACCCAACACTTAATCAAATGACAGTCGAAGTCATGCGATAACTCTTAGTGGGGAGAGAACAGCCCCATCCTTTTGAAAAGAGAATACCGAAGATCGATATTTTTCCCAAAACTTTCTTTTCACAGGGTCTCGGTTGGAAAACAGTGAGTAAGCCAAAAATCCACACTCCTTTGAAGGGTGAACCCGAGTGCCAAGATTTACCTTCGAGCTCTCCCAACAAACTGGCATCGTGCGGCCTTGTGCTTTTTACACTTCTTTTTGCCGTGCTTTTCTCCTGTANAGGCAGGAAGGCTGTGGAGTTGGTATTGCTAGCACTGAAAAGTGCAGGAGCTATGCAGCCTTACAGTTTTTATGTACACAAAATAATTCCCTGAATGGCTTAACCAGGTTTAGTCTACACTAAAAGCTCGCAATATTTTCATCATTATCCAGTCTGATCAGTGTACTTAAAAAAAAAAAAAAGCTGGCCACTCATGAAGAATAAAACATGCATTAAATAATCATGCACTTAAGTCTACCAAATGAAACTCATCTTGAAGTCTCATAAATTGTTAGAAATACATGATGGACTGAGGAAATAAAAAAAAAAAAAAAAAGCCATCGTAGAACAAAATAAAAAAAGAAAAAAAAAAAAAAAAACTAGAGAGGTGAAGTCTTATGTACAGTGTTCATCGGCTCAAACCTTTTCTGTGATGAAAGGATGTGTGAGAGCCTGATTGAGAGAGATTCGTTTGGCTGGGTCCAGCATGAGACATTTGTCAAGCAAATCCTTAAGCTGCATGACTTTACGTTTATGTTCCTCATTCAGCTTTTTGTAGCCTAGTAGAGACTCAACCACTTCTTTGTTGGGGTTGATGGCTCCCATGACTGTTACCTTTTCCTGAAATGTTTAACAAAGACAAAAAAGTCAGTTGCACAGAATAAATCAACAAAAGTGGTTGTTTGCAGTGGTAAACAATTAAAATGATTATAATCCAGGGCTTGATACTAACTTTTCAACTTACTAGCCAAGTGGCTTGTGACAACTTAAGATGTTACAACAATTTCAGTTTGGTTACTAGCCAAACTGGCCAATGGAAATCGAAAACTACCAGCAAAAACTGAATATCTACTAATTGGCTACCGTTAGTGTTGAGCCCTGATAATCTGTTGCTACTATTTTTCTAATCAATGATCCATAATCAACACCTTGAAGTCTAGGGAGTGTGTCACCATGTTTTTCTTAATCACACTTTACAGCACTCTGTAACCCTTAGCAAAAATGAAACTTAAATGCGGAATGACATTGATTGCATTCTTTAAATATAACCCTTTAAACACACTCTGGAATAACACAAATGTACTGCACTGATACAACCTTTCAAATAATACTTTGACCATAAAGAAAGGCATAACTGCCGAGATAATTTTAAAGTGGTACTTGTAGCAAAGGCAGTTGAAAAATAAGTACTTAATTTAATGGGGTAGCTTGCATCTTCATGAAAAGGGTGAACTTGGGGCAATCATGTCACAGTAAATATGAAATTTGCGCAGCAATACCAAATATTCCTATCCTGGTGTAAAACGTACATGTATGTACGACAGAGCTGAATAACAAAAATCTACGTCAGCGGGTATGCGGTCAACAATGCGGGCTCAAGTGTCCTAGGTCTTAAATTTAGTGAAATTAGCAGAAAATAATAAGGGCTGACCTTTAAAACCGAGGAACTCTATTTTCATCGAAGGCACTTTCCTATTTCCAAACGTTTAAAGGAGAAAATTAATTTTTGAAAAATTTTAGGTGGTGTACCAAATTTTTGGAGGTTGATCTGTAAAAGAAAAGTGGCAAGGAAAACGACGCCTTGAGGCAACAGAATAGGAACCATGCGAACGACTCAAAATCCGTGTTTCCGCGGCAAAACCTAGTGCATGCATATACATTATTCAGCTCTGTCTGTATGTACATAACTTTTAAAATTGTGACCAAACACTTCAAACCCACCCTCTGAGTGACTTTGTCCACCTCATGATAAAGGAAGTTACAGTTCTCATCAAAGTGCTGATCTCGCAATGATCCTTTTCTAATCATCTTGTTGGGCATTTTCCCTTTGTAATCCATCATCAGCTTCAGCATTTCATTGTTGGTTTTCCCAGGGAACATAATCTTTCCCGTGTAAAGCTCAAATAAAGTAGTTGCCACAGACCACATGTCTATACTGTAGTCATACTTTGCACCTATGACTAAAAGATGACACGAACATTTTAAGTTACAACTGTAAAACTCTGCATTTAATAATTTCATAGCTGCTGGCAGAATTTCCTGTGTGAGTTTTTGTCTACATAGCATTATTCTAAATGAAGCAAGTTGAGAGGTACACTGCAGAAGTTTTCTTGTAGCACTGAATGATTGCCTACAAGGTGAGAGAAGTGCAGCTGTCAAATAGTCTTACTCTGTTAGTTGGGCTAAACAGATTGAATTCAACATGTGCATGTTGTAATTCACAAAGAATTACATATATACTATACTTAAAGTGAGAAGAGAGAGTAGCATTGTATATAATTCATTCCAATGCTATACAGCAGAATGAGGGAGACACATCTAGTCTCTTTTTTCTCTTTCTCTTTCCATCAACCTTGCTACAGTGTGAGTTCCTTTTCATCAAATAAATTCATGTTGTTCAAACAAAATTTTAAAATTTAAAGTGTGAAAAAAAAAAACAAAAAAACAAAAAAACAAAAACAAAAAAGAAACAAGACAAAAGAAAAACTCTGACCAGTCCAATTGTTCATACTGGTACAACACCAGTGGATATATCCCTCTCTAGCCAAAAAGTAATTACATTTAATGTACTGCACTATCCACAGGATGAAGATTTATCCAGCAAATAACATAATACACCCTTTGAACAACTGCATTCTGAAGTTTAAATGCAAATGTACAGAAGATAGAAGTGAAAATATTCCATCAGCTCTACAGAGCAAAAGGGAGTAAACACTTCTCCATCATTTCATCTGAACTTACTTATTTCTGGGGCTCGATAAAAACGACTGACAAGGTATGGAGTTATATCACAATCGGAAGAAAATGAAGCTGATCCAAAATCACAGAGCTTTACCACCAGTTTAGATTCATTCACCTATGAGAAAAACAAATATGACTTAACTACAAACAAAAACATGTAAAGTAGCAAAAGCTGTAGGTTACCACAATCACATAATTTACAGAATTCCACAAATACATGTACATTAAAGTCCTAACCCAAACATGCACAGGGTTCATATATCTAAACATTTACAATTTACAACATGGAATTTACATATTCTATATTTTTCATAAATTATATACAAATAATTTTAGTTTTTAGAGAGCAAGTTTCAAAAGCAAGAAAAATATTGTGAACATTTGGTCTTCCTCAATTTTATATCCTGCCTCTCAACCACAGCTCATAGAAGGTCATTTTTTGAGTTGAAGTATAAGCAATGTTCATTGGCCACAAAACAATTACTCACCAGGATATTATCAGGTTTAATGTCTGCATGAATTATACCTGTCTTCTTTAAGAGCTTAAGGGCAAGGAATAACTGCTGACTATATGAACGGACGGCTTTGTAATGAAGTCCCACATTCTGGCCATACTTCCGTAGAACCTCTCTCAGATTCATACTAAATAGAGTAACCACAAAAACAAAACAAATAAAAAAAAAGAAATTTTTTAGTGAATGATTTTACAGTAAGCTGTATGGAAATGTTCTGTTCTACTTAATTTTGTCTGCTATTTATAAATTAATTTTTTTATTTCAGTGCAATATCATTTTTACGAGACTTGTTTCATACAACTAGGTATTCCACCATTTCACCATTCCATCGATTAGGGTCACCCAGTTAAACTCAAGGTATCATATTTTGGACCTTGCCCTCTTCACAAATGTGACCCTTCATGGGAAAATGTACACTGACCCTTTTTCATTAAATGGTCTAGAAAAACGCTTTTTTAAAAACAGATAGTAAACAGCTAACTCAAGCATTTAAATGGTTTCCACAACTGCTAAAACAGATGCCAAAAAATTTAAATGGCTCTTTTGACTATTTATCACTGATGAGAATAGTAGAATGCTCTCTTTTGGAAAAATAAAATAAAATTTTTCTTCAAAGTTTTCATGATGTACAGATCAAATCGATTTAGATACTTCTGCATGGAAAAGTCCTTTTTTCAATTTTGTGCTGGAGATGCTACAGTGAAATTGTTTTGAGATGGGAAACATTGTGATCACAAGCTAATTCCAAGTAACTCTCAAAGCAATCCAAAGCAATCATTGACATTGACAAGTGTTGAATAACCAAAGATGTTCCAAAACAAGTGAAAACAAAGAGCAAGGAATATGAGGTAAAACTCGGCATGCTTTGTTGTGGGGTAAGAGGTCGTTTGAATTCTATTGTTACATTCACTCACTCCACAGGACAACATTATGGCTTTGCGTCCACACGAGACAGTAGCCATTAAAATAATTTGAAGGATAATAAAAAAATTACTGTTTACCGACGTTTGGTATGAACAAATGCTAATAATTATGTTTGTACTTATTTAGACTTTGCTCTAGCAAAACTGTTTATTTCTCAAACAGATGATGTCTCTTAACAAATATGCAAGTTTTTTTTCCTATCAAAATGTAGCTTTTGTGTACAGAAAGAGTGAAAACCTCAATTAAACAGCTGATTACTGAGTGTAAACTGCCACAGTAAGATTTGAAAGAAAAACCCACCTCAGAGATTCAAACACAAGACACAGATGGTTCTTATGAAAGAAATGTCGATACAATTGCAGACAGTGTTACTTGTCATCAGGGTCAGCTGCATTCAACTTCTTCAGAAATTCAAGCTCTTTCAAGCCAGTCTTGTGCCTGTGGTTTAAATGAGATATAGATGCAGAGTATATACACTGTGGTCATATGCTATACACAGCACACTTACAAGTAATAAAGACTTACACAAATCATACGGTCATCAATGACTTTTAGATTTAAGGAGCTTAAATCTTCAAGTATCAACATTCAGACCTGCTGGCAAAGTCAAGTAATTCTTGAATCATAAATAATTTAACTACTAATTATTATTATCATAACAATTATCAGATTAATAATAATAATAATAATAATAATAATAATAATAACAATGCAGCCATCCAAAGGCATGTGTTCAGTGGTTTAATACACGTGCAAGTACATGCCATGTAATATATATATATTATTAACCAAGCATGAGGGCCGTACTGGGAGAATATTGGCCCGAGGTCTTGACAGTACGGACCGAGCGCAGCAAGGTCCGTACAAAAAAGACCGAGGGCCGATATTCTTCCAGTACGGTCCAGAGCAAGCTTGGTTAATAAGAGATTTATTATARGACTGAAGTTCAAAGGGACACAAGTGCAGTATCATTCGGGACCATTGGGGACAGTGCGCGGTCCAATACTGAGAGAATATTGACCGGCAATAGAGCATTTTGATTGGTTGATTTTAGTTATTGGCCCTCTGACTGCCCAAGTCGTGTAATAAAGCTTGTTATTTTGTTTCCTTTTTTTAATTCTCTTCTTTTCTTTTTCTAACAGTCACAGTTTTATCTCTGCTAACCAGCTAATAAATTTGGTTTGCCAAAAGGTAATGTTGAAAAATTTGAGCTTTGAGCATCGACAGTTCTTGTCCATCTTCTGAACACTAATCACAGGATATGGTATGTTTGAGCTGCATCGACACTTCAGTCTGTGGTTGAAAGTTAGACATGCACTCTGCACTGTTAAACTGCACAATGCAGTAATGCACTTTGAGTACATCACTGAGTGTAAAGCCATCTAGTTACTTACATCATCTCATTATTCCTGGCTATTTTCACAGCCACTTCCTGGTTTCCTCTTGCTTGGTCTCTAGCACGTACAACATTTCCAAATACTCCTGCTCCAGTGTAACCATAAACACAGTAGCGCTTATCAAGAATTTCACTGATGCGAATTCCTGGAGAACAACAAAATCAACACTATGTAGCTATGATGTGTAAATAAACCTGCCACTGATGTTTAACCCCTTACTCCCTAACATCAGTATGCATATTCTCCATACTGTTCTCTATACATTTCCTAAGGTGCTGACAAGGAGAATTTGCTTATCAATCAAGAGTTTCTGACTGTATTTGTTGATCATTTTTATTCTTCTCCTGACCTTAATGTGTGATTCAGAGGTGATATTGTAAGGAGAAATTAGATGCTAATCACTTTTAGTGGTTAAAGGGTGAGTATGTGACAGTTTAAAGTGAAAACAATGCAACTTTCTTGGCACCATTTGCTCACAGAAAAATAAAATCATCAGATTGATTACCAGCAGAAAGAGGCACTTAAACCAAAGCCAAAAATAACAAAAATAATAATAATAATAATAATAATAATAATAATAATAATAATATAATAATAATACAAGTAATCTTACTATAGTATCCCTCGGCATCATCCCAGTTGTCTGTTAAGTTAGGATTTTCCTTTCCTGCTTCCAGCTTCAAAGTCCTTGCAGGACTCTGAAATCATAACAAAACTCACATTACATACTTTGTTTGGAATCAGGGGCCCCTTTCTCAAAAGCTCAGGTAACTTAATGGGCCTGGAGCCATGTTTTAAAATCAAAATTTAAAGGATAGGAAAGCAGGTTCTAGTACCCAAAGCAGTGATTTTTGTTTCTTTAGCTGATAGGCTTATTGCTTCATTTTCAAAACTTTTGAAATCCTCATCTTGAATCAAAACAAAACAGCTTTATGGGCCCATTAAGTTACTTGGACTTTGGAGAAACAGGCCCCAGACCACTTACTGCAGACATGGATTTGACCAAACTACTCGGCAAGTGACAAATTGAAGTGTCAGAGATCGTTGTTATTATTGTTTTATGTTTAACCTTTATATTAAAAAGACAAAAGTTGCTTTTCTATAATATATAAAATGATTTAACAGATGTTGATCTAACTTAGTTATGGAGTTATTCCTGCATATTACAGTGAACTCCTTGTTGATGTACACGTACTTCTACATTAACTTGGAATTATCAGAATTACTGTCTCGTAAAAGACTAACACTAAATTTTGTACGTGATCTTGGGAAACAGAATTAAATAAAATCAAATATAAAAGAGTAACTCAATTATTTTCCAATCAAGAATAAGTTCTCCACAAAATTCAAGGAAAATTCAAACCCTAGAGTTTCATCAGTGGTATGTGTATTTGTTCAAGATGGTGCAGTCATCAACTTGCACCATCTGATTAGTCATTCTTATTTCAAGTCAACAGCTGGGTAATAGCATGTGCCTATAATAATCAATAATCTATGGGATAACCTGGTAAAACTGAGGTAAACTTGATAATTTGGATATATCAACAAAGTTGAAATGGTAAATTGGCCACCGTAATGATAAACTTACACTGTAATTATCAGAAAACATATCATCATCAGCAAACATGTCTCCCATAGCAGATTTTGTTTTGCTTTCTTGTTTTGTCTCCATGTTGTCCTTGACATCTTTAAGCTCCTTCTCTGTTTTGCTACTTGCTAATGCTATTTCCTGTTCCAAATCTTCAGTGGCTTGTTTTTCTACAGTAACGCTGTCTTCACTGTCTGATTTCTCTCCAGGTGGAGACTGAGACACAACTGAGTTGGTAGCTGAAGGGGCATTTGATGCAGTGTCACCACTTTGATATTTTTTTAAGATGGCTAATCTCTGCAACCTTCTTTTCTCAATGATTGCATCTTCATCTTCTTCCTTCTCATCAATCTCAAAGTTGTAGAGGTCAACACTATAATTTACAAGAGAAATTTGAATTTAGGTGTAGGGGGAACATTTTTTCCCCTTTGTCAGTGCTAAAAAACCATCATTAAATACTGAATTTACTTGTACATTACAAATATATATAATCTCTTAAAAAGACAGTAGATTGCACAGACTGCTTAAAGGTACAAAACTTCAGTTTATTTCTTCCCATTAGCTGTTCACCTAAACTTGGTTCAAAATCCCTCTTATTCATACCACTAACATAAAGAAAATCACACTTACTCTGGATCTGAATCTCCCTTGTGGGCTTGCCCCTCAGAGTAGCTTCCCTTGAATTTATCACTGTCACGTCTTTTCCGCCGAGGTGACTGAGACCTGCTATGCCGTCTTGGGGATTTACTCCTTCTCCTTGGAGAGCGGCTGCGACGTCTTGGTGATCTGCTTCTTCTCTTTGGTGACTTGCTGAGTCTTCGCGATCTAGAAGATGACCTTCTCTGTCGCCTAGGAGATCTGCTACTCCTTCTGCTCTAATCCTGTTTACTTTTCCTTTCCTTAGATAAAGTTCTCCTGGGAGACCTGCTACCTGACTTTCTTGGTCTTTCTCTTGATTTATCTTCCTTGTCAGAGACTGCACTTCTTTTTGGTGATCTAGATTTTGAATGATGTCTGGGTGATCTTGATTTCATTTCACTGTCCTTTCTGTTTGTATCAGTTTTAGTTGAATCTCTCCTGTGAGGAGCAGGCTTTTCCTTTTCAATATCACTACTTTTTAAGCTTGAATCATGCCTGGCTTTTGATTCAGTTTTGCTATCATAAGAACCACTGTGTTTTCTAGATCTGTGACTGTGTGAGTGACTGTTCAATTTTTCAACTCTGACTGAATCACTGCTTGGTTTACTATTTTCCTTGCCATCCTCTTTATCTTCACTTTCTTTTCTTGGGCTTTTCCTTCTTCCCTTTTGTTTTTCATGTTCATCAAATTCTCTCGCTTCAGTCACCTTATGCTTTCTGTCAAGTTCATGATCATCTCGTCTGTGTTTATCTCTTTGCTTGTCCTTAGTTTTATCATCTGTCTTACTCAAAGGTAATCTATGATTTCCAGCTGATTGTTTCTCATTAATTCGAGAAGCTTCAGCCAGCTGCTCCTGTAAAAACGCTTTCCTTTTCTCGAGTTCCAAAAGTTCGTCTGCAATTTTAGACTTTTTCTCGGCAGGTTCGCCATTTTCAGGGGCGTCTTCCTTGTCTCTTCTCTTTTGGTGTTTGTGCTTGTGCTTATGACTCTTATGTTTGTGTTTGTGCTTTTTCTTCTTCTTCTTGTGATCATGCTTGCGTTCAGATGTTATCTTATCGTCCTTTGCAAACCGGGGCCCTTCTTCTGAATCACTGCATAGGTAGTAAAAAGAGGCAAATTACCCAAAAATAACTCCAAAAAATTCCCCTACTATCCATTTTACCATTAGGCATACCTATCTGATGATTCTTTATCTTCTTCCTCCTTTCTCGATTTTTCTTTTCTATCTTCTCTGACTCTATCAACCTCGGCCGCCATATTGGTTTCGAAACTACAGCGTTTGCCATGCGTTTCTCCTTAGCCTCGATTTGGAGATGACAATGAATTTTTATTCGGGGAGAAGACGGAAAATGTAAAGTACTTACACACGGGCCACAAGTGTGGGAATAGCTGTAGCGTAGTCGTACATAGTTTGCTGAAAAATGTTCCTATTCATCATGGCCCGTCAGCCAGCTTTGGGCTGTAGGAACACTGAACTAGAAACAAGCGGAAATGCATCCTTCCTTTCTGAATGTACTAGCTTACGATAAGCCCCATCAAAGTGGGTTTTTAGAGCAGATCACGGTCGGTATAGCCCGTCTACAATTAATCTACCTCTTTAGAAAATGCCGAAAGGATCGAGGGAACGTAATATAAAGTTTTGAAGATGTACGATGATATTAGTGGAGCATTGCACCCTGGAAGGTTAATTAATTAAAATTTACGATAAGACAGGGGTACTTCTTCGGGCATGGGGTAAGAGGAAGGGGAAGAAATGGAGGGGGGACGGAGGGAGAGAGGGGTTCAAGTGTGGGGATCGGTCGGAAACTTACTCATTTCAGTTCCTTTAATTGTCTTTTTCTTTACTTAATTACTTTGATAACAGGTAGATTTTAATTGTTTTAAAGCACCGTAATACCCATGTAAACAAGACATGTTGTTTGAATCTGTCAAACTGCACAAGCGAAGCGCTAGAAGGAAAAGATGAACCTTTTCATTATTTTTTGGACAAGTTTATTATGCTTTCTCTTAATGGCGCGTCTCTTTAATCCGTAAGGCTAGGCTATCTTTTCATCCTATATGTCCAATCCCACATCCGCGTGCATTCTGAGAAAATTTTAAAATTCAAGGAGAAGAACATCTCTCAATAAGCTGATTGTAACTGAAACCATAACGTACAGATTCCGGTTAATTTTTTTTTTTTTTGCAAGGGACGATAGGATGAAAAGGCCGGCCCTTTTTACTCTAACTTGCTCCTCTCCATGAAATAATCTCAAAGTTTTCATTAGCTCGGACATGAACCCCTCTACCTTTGCATGCCGGCGTACTTGTCGGGCTGTAAAGACCCTCAAGTAGAATTATACATCATGCGTCTTAAGAAAATACTTAAAAAGTCTGGTGCCAGCTGTAAGGGAGCAAGCGGGGATAAGTAAGTCGATGCAGACAATGCTGACAGGCGACTTTCTAAAAGGCAAGCTTTACAACCTAGAGTCCTCACAAGTGCTGTGATTAGTTAGAGCATTGAGAGCGACTCCATCACTTGTCTTCTCTCCTTCTTCGACTGCAGCATTATCCTAGACATGCAGGAAAAAAGGGAAAACAAATTGAGAATTTGTCACCAAAACCACGAGTGCTAAAAAAAAGATATCGTGTCAAAGTCGTGAAAAAAGATTAATATAAATAAAACATTTTTATTCATCCCATACATGGAAATCTCCTTTTTGGCTCGAAGAAACCATCGTACACACAAAACACGATAGCTCAGTGTCTAGCATCTTTAAATGTTATGATCAGTATTGCAGGCTTTCAGATACTGTCGCACGCGCGTGACGTGAGAGACCTAGACAGTCACGCAAAAGTCAATCTCGCGAAACCATTTAAGTTTCCTGTCTCTAACGCGTGTGACTGATGTTCTCGGCAGGCGCCTGCTTCGAAAGCTTGATAACCTGAGACTCTCTTAACAGCAGTACGATATGGGAAAATCTGTTTCTTGACAGAATTCGGAGCAGAAATACCACAAAGTAATTTACTTTCTAACTAAGGAGAGCATAACTGAAATAAATCCAAGGGCGACTTACATGCCCATTTACTGAACGAGATATTGTTGTCATTGTTCTTAACTTTCCTTCTCGAAGACGTGTTCGGCCCCGGACCAAGAAAACCAAGATCACCATAGAAAGACAGAGAGAGATTCCAATCGCCACGCCAATAGCAGTGTAATCGACGTCACTCAGCTTCTTCGCTTCTTGGCCTGAAAATTCGTCGAAACAATTTTGGGCATGATAATATAGTTAATCATAGTGAAACATACGAATTTATCCTATCACATGAAAGATTTGTTTACATCACCAAAATTACTTATAGGGAAGTACACAAGCACTGAAATTGAAATGCAGTTACCAGACTTTTGCACCTGATTGGTTGAGAAAGATTGAGTAACACGAGGTTTAAAGAAGTTTCCAACTCGTGCGTAGAAAGACCTGAACCAAAGTGATCCCAGCGACCAATCACAACAAAGGTTTACATCATCATTGGCCAATGATAATTTAAAGTGAAACAAACAAGCTGCGGGGAATCGCGGATGACCGGGAAAGCGTACTCCGAAATCCGTCAGAAGGAGGTCATCTTCGGGTAGATTTCCGATTACGAAATCGGAGTTCGCCCGATGTTGTCTTCGTGATGATGGCCCTATTTAGCATTTTAGACCCGCGAAACAGAGTAGAAACGAATACATACTTCGTGTTCGCTTATGACTTCGTATTAGTCGTAAGATACTTGCTTTTTTTTCGTTGCTTAGCTATTTTACAGACTCCACAAAATTTTTGCGATGCCCCGTTTTCACGGATGGCCGATCACAACTACAACATAATGACACCTCCACGAAATCTGTCAAAAGGAGGATGTTAAAACACCGGAAATGGAGAGGAAAGATAAATGTTACGGTCGATTAACTCCTAGACAATTGAATGGTCCAAACTCGCAAAGGCGGGAAACTTGTTATCGTCCGAGATATCAAAGTATCTGTTTGCTCACTCAACTCGTATTCAGCATTCGGCCGTAATAATTTCGCTTTCTGAACAAAATTTCGAATTCTATGATGGCACGTAAATTAATTTCCCAAGAGGTGTAGAATGCCGAGGGAAGAGTCAGACCTGAAGTCTCCTTCTCGTAGTGTGAAATGTTGTAGCTGCAAGGAGTTTTTCACACGAAATGCATTTCAACAATTATTTTGGAAGGTTCAAATACAAATTGGCGTTATCCAAACTTCGAAAGAGCCCTTAAGCAGGAAGAGAAAAATAACCATTAATTTAACATGAAGCATTTAAAAACTGATTCTCAGAACTTCCCATTAATTGTTTGTTAAGATAATCGTCGAAGTGAAATATATCTGTGTAGTAATTTTTATCCATGTACAAGTCAACTAAAAGAATTTTGAAAACATATTTGTAAGAAACTGTTTCGTGCAGATCTTTCCCTTAGCATGCTCTTACGTTTACAATTGAAAATCTTCATATTATTTATTGTAATCGCTATAATTTAGCGCAAAATATTTTCAACGATATCCGGGCACAACGCAGATCATAGAGAACATGTAATAGGTGAGACAAGTCACGGATTATGCTTGTCGACAAAAGTAATATCGCCTGCTACATTATATTCATACTTAATCTCCGTCCAATCGAGGCAATGTACAATTTTTTAATCGATTACCGTATTAGAAATAATAAATCGCTTAAACTCTTAACGTAATTGCTTAAAATTTATTTCATCAGAAATCAAGAAGATATTTAGTAGTTTGGGGCGTGGTTGCTTTTACTGAGTTAACCATATCATATACCTAGATGTTTTATCTGAAAAGCTTTATTTAAGAAAGGTATTTCTGTTCACAATGCCTTATTTCGTGCGAAAATAGCTCATATTAAAACATCATATCTGGTGTTTTAACACCCTCCTTTTGACAGATTTCGTGGAGATGTCATTACATTGTAGTAATGATCGGCCATCTGTGAAAAGGAGACATCAAATGTATTTTGTGGAATCTGTTATGTAAGTTAGCAACAGGAAAAAAGTGCAAATATCTTAACACTAAGACTAGGTTTACACTAGAGGAAATTGTTCCGGATTCGTGATGAATCCGAAACGTTTTAGTACCGGATTGATTCTACCGTTTACACGAAAGTGGACGAATCCGAAATAAAAACTTCCCGGTTTGGTCGTGTCTCCGGAGATTTTGAATCCGCAATTTAAAGTGGGAACTTTGAATCCGATAACTTTTGAACCCGGAAACTTTGTCGTGTAACCGCTTTTTTTCTCGAATCCGGTTATTATTTCCGCCTGCAATCTTTTGAGTTTGCGGTGAAACCAAAATGGATCTGGTGCTAACATTGCTGGCGGTCTCCGGTTGCCTAATCTTGTTGCAGGTTCAGGTGATAAATTAATTTTATCATGTGTACCGCAGTGTTTCTGAGGAAACGCAAATTATTATTGTAAGGAAGTTTAACGCCAGCCACACTTAATCGCCGACGACGTTGATGGCTTGGCATCTGTCCAACTCAAATTTGCCTCAGTAGCATCTGGATCTACTCTAGCCTTTTTTGGCGAGGCATTTTCACTTTGTCGATCGAACCACGAAAGAACACTGGGCTTGGTAACCATTCCATTTCGAATGTTCCCGGAGTTGTCGTTGTGTGTAAACGGTCAGGAATCCGAATATCCTTTCAATGTAAACGCCTACGAATCCGTATACTCCAAAATTGATGAATCCGGAAACATTTACGAATCCGGAAAACTCTCCTCTAGTGTAAACCTAGTCTAATACAAAGTCATAAGCGAAAACGAAGTAAGTGTTCCTTTCTACTCTATTTTGCGGCTCTAAAATGCTAAATAGGGCCTTCATAGCGAAGGAGACATCGGGCAAGCTCGGATTTCGTCATCAGAAATCTACCCGAGATGACCACCAGTGTTTTCATATTCTCCTTTTGACAGATTTCGTGGAGGTGTCACTATGTTGTAGTTTTAATCGGCCATCGGTGAAAAGGAGGCATCGCAAAAATGTTGTTGAGTCTGTAATATAGGCTAGCAACGGAAAAAAAAAATCAAATATCTTAACGCTAATACGAAGTCATGAGCAAAAACGAAGTACATGTTCGTTTCTGCTCTATTATGCGGATCTAAAATGCTAAATAGGGACATCATCACGAGCACAACATCGGGGGAGCTCGGATTTCGTAATCGGGTATCTACTCGAGATGACCACCCTCTGACGGACTTCGGAGTATGCTTTCCGGACGACCGAGTCGAGTTTGTGTTTAGTTTTGCTTTTGTTTGGTGGACAAGATGGCGTGTGTTTAATGGACCAATCACAGAGCAGAGCAAGGTCATTCGCGGTGTTTCTGACTCTCTCCACCTCGCTTTGTGACTCGTCCCAGATCTTCAACCCGTCCAATATGTCGACCGAATATATTCGCCGCGCCGAATCTCGCGCATACCAACTACCGCCTACAAGTAGTACTTTCGACACTAATAGAAAATTGTTTTATTTACCAGTATAAACAGAGTGTAAAGCTGTGAAACCTTAATCCCACGTGAACCGGAAACTACCTGAAACGCGGGAAAACTCGAGCGATCATATAGCCTACGTGTAGCCGTACCCCCGCCCCCCAGGAGAAACAGGTTCTCCACGGGGGGAGGGTACGGCCACACGTGGGCTAGCGATCAAGTCACAAATGGTTGACACTGAGGTGCAATTTTTTTTAACCGTCATGGATCGACTTAAAGCAAAACCAAAGAAATCGTGGATTATTTTCAACACTAAATTGAAAATGTCTCTAATCTAATAATGCTTAAGTGAGAGTTCACCTTGTATCATAAAGGATTTTCGTGATAATTGTCCATCTTTAGTGTCCACATCACACGTGTAAATACCTCTCCTGCCATCATCAGTGACCGCAACGAGAAGATGACTTTCCAAGATGGTACGGTTGTGCCAGAATATTATCACTATGCCGGAGCTACCATCTCTCAGAGTGTGCCCTTCTTTCTTCCACGTGATCTCAGCGGCAGATGAAAGATTGTGTATCAGGGTACAAGTAAAGTGTCCAATTTCACCGCTGGCTGTATTTAGAGAAGTTGGAGTGCTTGCAATTACTGATGGACCTAAGAAAAGATGGTCAATGAAACAAAACGAAGCCGCTCTCATACGAAGGGAAAAAAAATTTGACGGGAATAGATGTACATTTTACTTTGTCTTACGATTTACCGAGTTGGTTAACTGAGTGGAGTGGGATTTGGTCCGTGCTCGTTTGAATCAAAATCGTGAGTGTAATTTTAGATCAAAGTTGCACGACATGAAATTCCGAATTGTAACTTTATTACACCATATATTTTGATCGCCTTGAGTACAGGATTTTGGTCTGTACTTTTTAATTGATCTAGATACCACGATGCAAAGTTTTGGAGACAAAGGTTGAAAAATTCCTTAATGGCTTTCTTTGTCTTTCATTCTCTGGTGATTTGATCGATCAATGACTTTGTCGTTGAATGAAAACAATGACTAAAGGGAGCACTTTGTACTTAAATTGAAATGCAGAGAGCTATAATCAGATTACAAGGACCATCGATATCGCCCACCGCGAAATTACAATTTATCATGCCCCTCAATCGGTACAAACTTAAGTTGCTACGCCTAGCAATCTTATTAACTTGTCAGCAATGTATTCCTGACTCAGCCTCATAAATATCAAGAGAAAAAAAGAAGAAGAACTTCCCGGAGCATGGATACCTGCGATAGCCGATCAATAACAAGTCGGAATAACATAAGAAGAAAAATATATATACTGCAGAGCTCACCGAGGGCAAATATCGACAAGTTATTATGCTATTGAAGCCTTATCGCTTGGTGAATAAAAGCCGTGCTTAAATGTCAAAGCTTGGCAATCAACAACTCACGGTGTTTCTGTATTGTGAAGTAGTGGAGACAGGAAAGAACAGTTTTACATCTACAGAGGGACGGAAACTCCTCTTATCTAGAAAAATAATAACCAATTTGTCAAGGCTTATCGGCAACAATCTTGGCAGGGGAGCTAATTATAACTAAAAATTTAGAGAGTAACCTGAAACAGAAACAGTCATTGCCGCACATGTGTTTTGGTGAATTCGTTGCCCACCGCCTTTGCTAACCGCCGTGGTGTTAAGTGAAAAGAAAACATGTTTTTAACCAATATTCGGCCACACTATTTTATAAGAACTCATGGAACAAATCATACACTGACATAAATTGAGACGTACAAACAGCTCAAAACAGAAACCACAGTGTAGCAGTTAAAAAAAAAAAAAAACAAGTGAAAAAAATGTTAGTTAATGGTAGTTAATTTGTGTAGGTCACTCTCGATTTTATAGATGATTTAAAGGTGAATGATCAAGCCTTCGTGGTATCGAAAGAGTGAATGAGAGTAAGCTAAGATTTGATTTTTGAATTTTTTAGACCGCACATGATCACTTCACTGACCATAATATTTCCTTCGATAAAATCTTCCAGAATATGCTAACGAAACAAAAACGGCGAGAGTAACAAGTGATCATGCGAGCACAAAAAGAAAGATGAGGAAGATCACGATGCAAAAAAAGAAAAAAAAAAAGAGAAGAAGGGTTGCAGACAGGCTAGTCCGCGCGTTTCACCTTTACCTTAGGCAATCGTTATTGTAAAGGGGAGATTATCACCTTGAACGGCTTATTAAGACTCGCGGAATGTAAAAGAAGCTATCAAAGACCTAGCTCGTATATCATTATGGGGTGTATTTTGTTACTTTTTCAAAATCACATCGCTTTAAATTTGTCCCATTCGACACGGTTGAAAAATCAAGCGAAGGGAAACACTATGCACTTAGTGCTAGACCAGAAAGAAAGACCCCTCACCTTCTTTGCCGTCAGCGAACAAGAAAGTAATCAAAATGATCACCGCCGAGAGAAACTTTGCTTCCATGCCGTTCACCGTATTCAACTGACAGAAAGGAGAATTTGTAGACGTGTTTAGTGCGAAGTCGCGCCAAGCTGACTTTGATATTTCCTTGCGAGTATGCAAATCTGATATATCCTTTCCGGAAAAATGCAATCCTTTAAATTTGGTATTGGTAGTAATTGGAATTTGACATCTCGTGATGGTCCCACGGAGACCGTGAAAAAGAGGTTATGCAAACAAATTGGCTAAAATTCGCTCTAGTGCGACCCGGCCCTAACTTAACTCCTGGTTTCGACTTTGTCAAAACAACATTGTAAGATACGTGGTAGCTGAAATGCCGGTTTTCGCGAATTGAAATTCAAGACTGTTGAAATAATCTAAGATTTCCCGTGGGTCCTTGCTCTTAACAAGTCATTATGGACGATCACAAGAGGGTTTTTAACAAGAATAGTTCATAAACTGTAGATACTTCATAGCTAGTGATCAGAATTTAGCTTATGTAAAAATATCTTGACTGTCTGAGTGATGGTATCAACAGGTGTCAGAGGTCAGTTAAAGACGCTTTAAATAAAAATGGTCTGATTTCCTTTAGAATATGGCGTGATTTCCTTAAGTAGCTCAAACGTTGATGTCCTCGTGATGTGCACGTGTAAAAACAGAAAGATAAACGAATTTTTTTCTTTTATTTCTTTTCTTTCCTTTCTTCTTTATCCAACACAAAATTGCTGTCAGTCAAGAAATGAGGAGGACTCTATCAGACTTACAGAAACGATCTGCCTCAGGTTTCTCCATGATCACATTCAAGTGAAGCTGAAAATATGGAATAACGAATAAGACAAATAAAAATAATTCTCTTCAATTCGAGCGACGAGGACCCTACGTTATTGTAGTCCCTTCCACTGTCCGCGCGTGCTGAGCCTGCGGTAGAAACGTTAAAAGCGCTACAGCGTATTATGGCCATCCTTCTCTTTCTTTTCATGATTTTGTGCACCACTTTTCTCCTCGGAAATGGGCTAGGGACAAAAGTTCCGATGGAGAGTTATGTCGCGCTAAAGACAGCGTTTCCATGAGATTTTTATAATCTGTGAATTCGTGATAAGTCTGTTGATTAGCATTAGCTTTCATCTACAATTTCAAGTACATTATTTTGACCTCAGTTGACGATCAGTACGTGCTACTTATTATTTCGCATATTTCGCCCGTTTTCTGCATTTGATATTGCACACGGAATCTTGTTAGTCATTGTTGAATAATATAATTCTGCTTTATTGATTATTTATTATAGTCGGAAAGATGGAGAATTTTGGGCTCGCTTGTAGGAAGGAAGATGATCATAATTTTTGGTTGAAGATCCGTGTTGAAAAACCTATAACATCTTTCTTTTGTCTTCGACTTACTTCCATAGCTTGTCTTGTTAGGCTTTCTTGTTTCTTACTTCCTTTCTCGTGAAATTTTTGGCTAACTAATGACCATATTTATCTGCACCTTCTTCCAAACCTTTGGGTCTCATAACTTGAAGCAATAACATTGATGAAAATTCCAGTTAACGGCTGAGATGAGGTGCATGTTTTCTGTCAGGAAAAACGATCAGTCATCCGTGATATGGCTCGGAATGATTGAAATGATTAGGCTGAACACTGAAAAAAAAAAAAAAAAACATTGAACAAAGCGATTCTACATCAATTTTACCATGGCATATCGTGAATATAGAATTAGTTATACAATAAATAAGTTCAAAGAAAAATTCGCTCATTTAGGCTGGATGTGCAGACTCTCCGGTTGTGGTTAATGCTTTGACGAGGGGTTAGCGCTCGAAACGTCAGTTTTAGAAAGTCTTTGCAGTAGCAAATTTACATTCTAAACTCGGTTGATAAAACCATAGTTTCCTTAGAAACTTTCCCCTTTCAGCTTGAAAAAATATATTTATAGACTTCAAAGACACGGGCAACGTTAGACCTCACGCCTTACGGGTGTAACGCTCTACAAATATGCTATTTGCAAGCACCCTAACGCGAAGCGCCCCACAAGCCCTCAAAGGTAAATGACTAGGAGCATAGTCTCCATTCCCGTCAGTCTGTGAGGTGTCACGGGACTGGCCATGGGGAAGCGTTAAGAAACGCAGTGGTCGAACGCAGGGTATGCGCGTGGGGATCAAATTTTGGGCCCTTACGCGCCAATTTTCCCGCGCAAACTTTCCAAGGAAAACATAAGAAACAACTGTTTCCTCTTAAAATAAGCGAAAGAAATTTGAAACATTCATAGAAATTTCTAAAAGGAGAGAAAAGAAGAGAAAAGGAAAACTCAAGACTTTTCGAACCAAAACCTTATTCAAGTACGGGTAACCTGTTGATTTACTACTCTGTTTTGAGCTTTATATTACCAAACAACTTACATGCGATCCCCAAAGATACAACTAATTTCCGCAGGTTATCGTTTGCTGAGCATAGGCTCATTTCCCAACAGGGGCGGCCCAAAGAACGGCTGCGAGGGGCGAGGCATGTAGAAGCTCTGCCGAAATTCCTCCCGCCTCCCAAACACCCTCTGCTTCCATTGCTTCGCCGCTCGACTCAAACCGGAGCAAAGAAAAAGTGTTGAGGCGCTACATCTGGTCATTAGGTCCTAATGCAATGACAAGGCCCCACTGGTTTAGCTGGATGGTGAACCGATGGTACTAATTTGACCCGTTTTCCAGAGATATTCTTGTCAGTATGAAGATTTTCCCTCTATACCAGCAGGTGTTCCCCGCTAATCTAACGTTCCAAATGGAGTTAAGACAGAGGTTAAGAGTTTGTTTCGCGCACTTAAAGAACAAGGCATCATACTGCAGTAAATGGCTTGATACTAGTAATTGAAAGCGTTTGAGAACATAGTTATTTTATTCAAGTGTGAATATTTTACAAAATTTAAACTATTTTTATGCTAAACTTTGTTTTAGTTGGACCTAAGTAGACCTAATTAGAATTACTTTGTTAAATAATGTCGAGTAACATCAAAGGGAGCGGAAGACTGGGCCACCTAAAGGTTTCCGAGTTTGAAGCACCCTCGTTTTCAAAGTGTGTCCAAGCGCAAAACCCTTCTTGTGTTCATGTGCTTTGATTGCATAAGAATAAAAAAATCATTTGGATATTTTTTTAAAAAAAGGGTTCGCACTTAACCAAGTTTTTAAACACGGGCTTTGTGCATGTTGGGGAACGCCCTTTTGTCTAATGTTCTTCTCAAACGCAATTCGATAATCATGCCTTCTTATGCTCGTGGCTCCAGTCAGGTGCCACAGTAAATACGGTATGGTGATTGTGTCTGCCACATGGACAATACAAATCAGAACCGTTGTACTTTGAATATTTGTTTCAAATTGACTTACACCTCTTCAAAATATCTATATACATATGTTTATTCTTTGGAAAAAAAAAAGTCAGCAGTGAGTAACAAAAATAAAACACCGATACGTCTAAGCTGAAAAAATGTACCTACTGCTAAAAGTTTATAACACTCTTTTATTCCCATGATCCTGCATGGATAAATATTTTTCTAAAGCTGTCTATACGACAAGGCAAAAGTGGGTTATGTGATCCACACGGATGCTTGCCCACGCTCTTAAGAAATTTTTAATAAACATCTCCTTTTAGACATTTTCCGTAGTCAAATAATTACTCTGGTGATTATGGAGGCCTAGGTGCAAGCGCTCTAATAAGTCGAGAATCAAGTCATATCCGTTTCTAATCACTCTGTGCGAGGTGATTATAATACGGAAGCACTTATTTTCGCAGTTTTTGATGAAACTGCCTTTGCTCTTTTGCTCTGATAATTACCCGAGCAATTATTCTATAACTGTTCTCCTCGGGTTCGGTGAATATTTAA